TTCCTTCCTTCCTTCCTTCCTTCCTTCCTTCCTTCCTTCCTTCCTTCCTTCCTTCCGCCTTCTCCATCCCTCCTTCTTTCCTCCTGTATAGCCTTGCCTGTAAATAGTAGATCATTGCTGCTTACGGTACAAATAGGATCCTTGTGGTATAAACAAGGTCTCATGAGTATATTCTGGTGTCAGGCCATGTTGGACAATTCCAAAAGGGGTGTGTTCCCCTAACCACCTCTCCTCTCCTCCTTCCTCACAGGGTACAAAGATCAGGGTATCCCACAGCAGCTGTGAGCCTACAGGACCTCCGAGGAAGTCCAGGGTCCTGTGAGGGCCGTACCAGGTGGCTCCGGGCGCAAGGACCCTCACATCTTCTCTTCTGCCATTTCTCAGATTGGGGTGGAAAGGGAGTATTTTAAAAAAAATTATTTATTTTGAAAAACACACCTGCTTTTCTCAGCAGGCTCCGAGGTCAACTCCTCTCCCTGCTCCAGAGGTGCATGGAAGGAACAGGCTCAGAACATCAGGACTGGGCTAGAGGCGGCATATTGACCAAGTGCCAGGGGTGCTGGGCATGCCTATCCAACTGACCACTGGACAGGCCTGCCGGGCTGGGTTGCTGTAGCCCTGTACAGGTGATCAGGCTCTCTCCCAGGCGTCAGGACTTCCACGGAACACTTCCTCTGGGTCTTCACCCCCCTGACCAACTACGTGGTACCCTGAATTTGCTCTGTGCTCTCCCAGGGGTAGTACCAGGGTGGGGGTTATGAGGCAGCCAGGTGATAGCCCAGTGTGGGAAGGTCCTTGCCCCCCCCCCCAGGTATCTGATGACATCCCAGCCTTCTAGTTGCTGGGTGTGCCTGTGACCTTTGTTACCTGACCCAAGGGCGCCACCGGCTCCACCTCTGGGATGTCATTGCTAGAATCCAGATGGCTATATGCAAAGTGGCCAGGCTGAGTTGTGAATGGCTGCTGAGAAGCAGTCTTCTTGGACGTATTTACTACCGTTTCTGGTGTCCTCTCCTTTTCCCAACATTCACGTATTTCTGAATCCAGACTGTTCTGAGGAAGATGATGGAATCCATTTGTTACCATTTCTTAATACCCCAGCTGCGTCTGGGCTCCCCACTCACCTCCAAACACTCCTGTGAACAGGCAGAGCCTTGGGGCCCATGGAATGTAAATAGCCTTGCCTGAGCAAGTCCTGGGGAACATTGGAGACTGGTCTGCATTTGAAGGATGAGAGCCATCATGTGACATCATGAGGTTGGGGACTTCAACCTGAATTTTATACGTGCTGCAAGAAGATGCCCTGAGAGGCTGAGGTTGTTGGCTTGGCACGTGGACTTCTGTGCCCCTTTAAGCAGCAAACCTGGGAGCGATGGTACAGAGCTAGACCCTCAATAGAGAGAGAAAAACCAACAGAAGGTAGGAGGGCACCAATCTGAAATTAACAGAAAATCGAACCGAAATGACAGTGATGGGGTGGCTCTTTGCATCTCTCCTCATTCTCATTCTAAGGTAGGAGGCACTAACATGTGGGAAGGGCCCGGAGCTCAGTTCCCCCTGGTCATACTGGCCTTGAGCCATCAGTAGGTCCCTCTTGGGGAATCTTTCCTCATCCAGCTGAGGCTCTGTCACAGAGTGACCAGGGCTAAAGAAAGGAGCTGCCACTTTCTGCCTTGGTGAACGGAGGCTCCTGGGAAGACGCTCCCATTTCACTGGGGCTCCAGCCCCCTACCAGGCTCCTTAATTGCAGCCTTTGGGAGCAGACCCCCAACTGTCCAGCCCCCAGTATCATAAGAGATGTAGTCCCGTGATGTACTCGTTCCTGCCTCTGCCGCTGGGCTAGCTGGCCTGTCCTACCACGTCCCCACCCACTAGTTTCCTCCATGGCTGTGTGGGCTTTAGTTGCACCCTTTGAATACCTGCCAGGGGCCTGTGTATTCCTGTGTTTTCTTCTGTTGCTTCTGTTTTCCCGAAGCCCCTGTCCTCGCTGCTCTCAAAGAGGCTAGTCGGGTATCAGAGCTACACCAGACAGCCGTGACACAGGGGAAGGGTGGGTTAGCGTGCCCTCCCATGCTGCCAGCCCACGTCCCGTTAGCCCACATAGCCAGAGATGACAGGCCTTGGCAAGAGCGGCCCCCACAGCGAGGGAGAAGTCTATTTCCCTGGCTTGGGCTGGGGGTGGCTACCGGGGGAGTTGAGAGGAGATAGCAATTTGTATTGCTTGTTTAGTGAAATGAGCCAGACTCGAGTGGGATTTTTCCTGAGTGACAAGTGTCACCATGACTTCCAGTGTGGGATGGCTTAATACCAGGGTTTGTGAGCTCAGAAAGCTGTCTCCTGGGCACCCCCTCCCTCCAGGGGCTGATGTGGGTAGACTTTAGGATCCGCCAGAATAGTGAGTCTGAGGGTGGTCACCAGCTCTAAAAAGCAGGGCCTGGGTGAGGCGTGGCTTTAGCATAATCATTCTCAGGTGGTAGACGGTGGCTAGTTCATGCCTCATAGTCCAAGCTGGCCATTGGATCTAGGTGCCCAGAGTTCATTTCAGCTATCTAGAAAGCAGGGTGACCAGCCCATCGAGTGCTTAGTGGCTGTCAGACCCTTTAGTGACAAAGCTGCCTGAATGACATAGTTCGGGGCTTCTGTCCGAACTTGGGGAAAGAATTCAGAAGGGTATCCCCTGGCTATGAGTGCCAGGGGCAGAAATCACAGGCACACAGAGAGCATGATGAGTGTGGCACTAACAGGACCTAATGTGGCACGGTGACCGGAGTGGCCATTCTTCCCACCAGAGTGGAGCCTTGGAGCAAGAATGCAGCACCAGGTAGCCCAAGTGCCCTGGCTTCATTTCTGGTGCTGTGATACAACATCCCAACACAAAAGCAACACAAAGGAGGAAAGAGGAGAGGTTTTCTGGTTGGTCGGTTGGTTGGTTGGGCTTAGAATCCAGGTTATACATAGTCCGGCACAGCGGCGGAGTCACAATGGCAGGAAGCAGCTAAGTCATACCACATCCACAGTCAACAGCAGAGAGACGCGAACACGTCTATGCTGGGTTTGTTTTTATTCTTTCTTTCTTTGTCTGTCCTGTGCCTCAGCTAGTTCTATGTAAACTTAGAAAGTCCAGGACTCAGCCCAGGAACTGGCACCACCGGAATTGAGGGTGGACCATCCCTCTTCAGTGAACAGTTCAGACAATCCTCCACAGGCGTGCACACAGGCCAATCTGATCTAAATAATTCCTCATTAAGACTTTTCCCAGGTGGCTCTAGGTTTTGTCAAGCTAAAGCTACTCAGCAGTGTGTAGCATATTGCGAAGGCTACTGGAGACCTCAGACTGTGGCCCGAAGGCCACCTCCCCGCCTCGGTCTGACAAATCTGCTGCCCTTGCCTGGGCCAAGTCTCCAGATGCGCTGGAGACAGGAGGAGGAAGTGACATGGGTACCGTAAGCTCCCTGCCTCCATGGCCCCAGACCTGTGTCCACACCCAGCCAACAGCCCCTGCAGCAGGCCTGGCCTGGGTGCTGCCCAGGGCAGTTCATCTCCTACTATTCTATGAGCAGCCTGTGAGGAGGGAAGC